TTACGTTCATACCAAATTTAGTCGTTTCGAGACAGCCCACTACGTATTCTTTGAAAAAAACCGCAGCATCGCTCATATTTTCCGAGCAAACATAGGCGTGCCTCCCCGAAAATACGTCACTAGTCCCCCCATTCGACCATCGGTCTCGCTTTCCGCGACACTGGCCAAGAATTACCTTACAGGTAGTATGTTATGGTACCGACTCCAAGTAAATACGTAACAGACAGCGGGTACGACCCATACCATTCGCGTTTTCGTTTGTTCAATGCCACAGTCGGATATTCTAGTGTTCGGTGTCTGAAAAAGTGCCTAAAGTGCTATTTTTCCTGTTCTAGTGAGTTGTTGAAGTTGGAAGACTATTGTGAAAAGAAGTTCATGTCTGAGAGGAGTTAAATCAAGCAGTTGCCGTCGAAGGAAACTCTTCTTTTGGTAGGTTTTCGTGTTGTTTACTACCGATAAAGCGTAGGTTTTCGCATGTCATTATGTGGGTTACTGATGACAGTCCGATATAAAGTTGCGGTGTTTTTTAAATGCTTGACTCTTGGCAATAAATGGGTCAAGGAAGAGACGAGTTATTTTATTATAGGTTGCGAAGGAGAAAAGTCTAATTATTTAAATAATTAAAATTTGTTTACTCTTATAAGCATATTCGATAATTAGTATAAATTATAAATAAGTATAAAAAATAGTTAAGTTAGTTGGAATATGAAGTAAATAAGTGCTAAGAATTGTGTTAACTTATATAAATTTACCATCACTTTCTAAGGTGTGTACTGATGTTTGTTGCTTCTGGGTATTGATGTGTATTTGTTATAAATAAGTGAATTCGGTATCGAGTAAATAGAAACACAGATATGGCTAATGATGCAAAAGTCTTATGGTAATTTTTGTGTTCCACTAATTTTACAAATTAAAAATTTGCTGCACTTGAAAAAACTGTTTGAGAAAAAGCAGATTTTTTTGAAGAATTTTGAATATACCGAATATATGAACTCTCTGTCTATATCCATGTAGTTGGATATTTGTAGTTAACCCATCGCATTTGTTTTCATTTTCTAAATATTATTGTTGGAAAGGCGTTTCAATGTTCGATGTCCTAAAAATGATCAAGGGGATTCTTTTTGTATTCTAGTGAGTTGTTGAAGATGAAAAACTAGTGTGAAAATAGTTCATGTCTGGGAGGAGTTAAATCAAGCAGTTGCCGTCGAAGGAAACTCTTCTTTTGGTAGGGTTTCGTGTTGTTTACTACCGATAAAGCGTAGGTTTTCGCATGTCATTATGTGGGTTACTGATGACAGTCCGATATAAAGTTGCGGTGTTTTTTAAATGCTTGACTCTTGGCAATAAATGGGTCAAGGAAGAGACGAGTTATTTTATTATAGGTTGCGAAGGAGAAAAAGTCTAATTATTTAAATAATTAAAATTTGTTTACTCTTTATAAGCATATTCGATAATTAGTATAAATTATAAATAAGTATAAAAAATAGTTAAGTTAGTTGGAATATGAAGTAAATAAGTGCTAAGAATTGTGTTAACTTATATAAATTTACCATCACTTTCTAAGGTGTGTACTGATGTTTGTTGCTTCTGGTTATTGATGTGTATTTGTTATAAATAAGTGAATTCGGTATCGAGTAAATAGAAACACAGATATGGCTAATGATGCAAAAGTCTTATGGTAATTTTTGTGTTCCACTAATTTTACAAATTAAAAATTTGCTGCACTTGAAAAAACTGTTTGAGAAAAAGCATATTTTTTTGAAGAATTTTGAATATACCGAATATATGAACTGTCTGTCTATATCCATGTAGTTGGATATTTGTAGTTAACCCATCGCATTTGTTTTCATTTTCTAAATATTATTGTTGGAAAGGCGTTACAATGTTCGATGTCCTAAAAATCATCAAGGGGATTCTTTTTGTATTCTAGTGAGTTGTTGAAGTTGAAAAACTAGTGTGAAAATAGTTCATGTCTGGGAGGAGTTAAATCAAGCAGTTGCCGTCGAAGGAAACTCTTCTTTTGGTAGGTTTTCGTGTTGTTTACTACCGATAAAGCGTAGGTTTTTGCATGTCATTATGTGGGTTACTGATGACAGTCCAATATAAAGTTGCGGTGTTTTTTTAAATGCTTGACTCTTTGCAATAAGTGGGTCAAGGAAGAGACGAGTTATTTTATTATAGGTTGCGAAGGAGAAAAAGTCTAATTATTTAAATAATTAAAATTTGTTTACTCTTTATAAGCATATTCGATAATTAGTATAAATTATAAATAAGTATAAAAAATAGTTAAGTTAGATGGAATATGAAGTAAATAAGTGCTAAGAATTGTGTTAACTTATACAAATTTACCATCACTTTCTAAGGTGTGTACTGATGTTTGTTGCTTCTGGGTATTGATGTGTATTTGTTATAAATAAGTGAATTCGGTATCGAGTAAATAGAAACACAGATATGGCTAATGATGCAAAAGTCTTATGGTAATTTTTGTGTTCTACAAATTTTACATATTAAAAATTTGCTGCACTTGAAAAAACTGTTTGAGAAAAAGCAGATTTTTTGAAGAATTTTGAATATACTGAATATATGAACTGTCTGTCTATATCCATGTAGTTGTATATTTGTAGATAACCCATCGCATTTGTTTTCATTTTTTAAATGTTATTGTTGTAAAGGCGTTTCAATGTTCGATGTCCTAAAAATGATCAAGAGTATTTTTTGTATTCTAGTGAGTTGTTGAAGTCGAAAAACTAGTGTGAAAATAAGTTCATGTCTGGGAGGAGTTAAATCAAGCAGTTGCCGATGAAGGAAACTCTTCTTTTGGTAGGTTTTCGTGTTGTTTACTACCGATAATGCGCAGGTTTTCGCATGTCATTATGTGGGTTACTGATGACAGTCTGACAGTCCGATATAAAGTTGCGGTGTTTTTTAAATGCTTGACTCTTTGCAATAAATGGGTCAAGGAAGAGACGAGTTATTATAGGTTGTTAAGTAGGTTTGTAGTTAACCCATCGCATTTGTTTTCATTTTTTAAATGTTATTGTTGTAAAGGCGTTTCAATGTTCGATGTCCTAAAAATGATCAAGGGGATTCTTTTTGTATTCTAGTGAGTTGTTGAAGTCGAAAAACTAGTGTGAAAATAAGTTCATGTCTGGGAGGAGTTAAATCAAGCAGTTGCCGTTGAAGGAAACTCTTCTTTTGGTAGGTTTTTGTGTTGTTTACTACCGATAAAGCGTAGGTTTTCGCATGTCATTATGTGAGTTACTGATGACAGTCTGACAGTCCGATATAAAGTTGCGGTGTTTTTTAAATGCTTGACTCTTGGCAATAAATGGGTCAAAGAAGAGACGAGCTATTATACGTTGCTAAGGAGAAAAATCTAATTATTTAAATAATTAAAATTTGTTTACTCTTTATAAGCATATTCGATAATTAGTATAAATATAAAAAAATAGTTAAGTTAGTTGGAAAATTAAGTAAATAAGTGCGCTATCTGTGTAACTTATATAGATTTACCCCCCCCCATCACTTTCTAAGGTGTGTACTGATGTTTGTTGCTTCGGGGTATTGATGTGTATTTGTTATAAATAAGTGAATTCGGTATCGAGTAAATAGAAACACAGATATGACTAATGATTAAAAAGTCTTATGGTAATTTTTGTGTATTTCCAGTAATTTTACAAATTAAAAATTTGCTGCACTTGAAAAAACTGTTTGAGAAAAAGCAGATTTTTTTGAAGAATTCTGAATATACCGAATATATGAACTGTCTGTCTATATTCATTTTAAATGTTATTGTTGTAAAGACGTTTCAATGTTCGATGTCCTAAAAATGATCAAGAGGATTTTTTGTATTCTAGTGAGTTGTTGAAGTCGAAAAATTAGTGTGAAAATAAGTTTATGTCTGGGAGGTGTTAAATCAAGCAGTTGCCGTCGAAGAAAACTCTGTTTTTAGTAGGTTTTTTTGTTGTTTACTACCGACTACCGATAATGCGTAGGTTTTCGCATGTCATTATGTGGGTTACTGATGACTGATGACAGTCCGATATAAAGTTGCGGTGTTTTTTAAATGCTTAACTCTTGGCAATAAATGGGTCAAGGAAGAGACGAGTTATTTTATTATAGGTTGCGAAGGAGAAAAAATCTAATTATTTAAATAATTAAAATTTGTTTACTATTTATAAGCATCTAGATAATTAGTATAAATATAAAAAAAATAGTTAAGTTAGTTGGAATAGAAGTAAATAAGTGCTAAGAATTGTGTAACTTATTTAAATTTACCAACACTTTCTAAGGTGTGTACTGATGTTTGTTGCTTCTGGGTACTGATGTGTTTTGTTATAAATAAGTGAATTTGATATTGAGTAAATAGAAACACAGATATGACTAATGATGCAAAAGTTTTAGGGTAATTTTTGTGTTCCCCTAATTTTACAAATTAAAAACTTGCAAAAAATGTTTAAGAAAAAGCAGATTTTTTTGACGAATTTTGAATATACCGAATATATGAACTGTCTGTCTATATCCATGTAGTTGGATATTTGTAGTTAACCCATCGCATTTTTTCTAAATTTTTTAAAGATTATTGTTGGAAAGGCGTTTCAAGGTTCGATGTCCTAAAAATGATCAAGGGTATTTTTTGTATTCTAGTGAGTTGTTGAAGTTGAAAAACCAGTGTGAAAATAAGTTCATGTTTGGGAGGAGTTAAATCAAGCAGTTGCGTCGAAGGAAACTCTTCTTTTGGTAGGTTTTCGTGTTGTTTATTACCGATAATGCGTAGGTTTTCGCATGCCATTATATGACAGTCTGATATAAAGTTGCGGTGTTTTTTAAATGCTTGACTCTTGACGATGAATCAGTCAAAGAAGAGGCGAGGTATTTTTTTATTATAGGTGCCACTAGGTGGCCACGAAATACCTTCAGAAATCAGTTATTTGTTATTTGTCACTGTCAGTGGTATGTCAGTTAGACATATGAAGTTTTTAGTCATTTTAGGAGAAATCATGACATTAGTTTATTAGCTGGACAAAGCGATTTTAGAAAATGTATTCTCCTAGCCCTAGAGGGTATTGTGTTCGAGAAAGTTCCTTTCATAAAACTTCCCTGATATCTGGTATAGAAGTATGAAATTATGCGCAAACGATCCTTAAGAACACTTTGAAGAAATTTTCGCAGATCTCCCAAATAGGTAAATTTAGATAAAACTTCGTACCGCTGCGCTGGCTGGCTGGATGAGTTATATAAAACAAGAAAAACTGGATGAGTCATATAAGGCATAAAGAAAAATTGGCCTTTAAAATACATAAATTAATCAATTAGAAAAGGCAAATTTCATTATTATCACATCTAGAAGTATAAAAATTTTTAAAAAGGTTTTTTAGCGACATCAGTAATAAGAACAATTTTTTTAGAATCATTCACTACGGGTAAAAAATAACGGGGTAAATATAACGTATAACGTACCGTAAGTAAATAAAATAAGTAATTATAAATAAGTATTGATGCCTTTTCCACATTTCAGGTGAAAATTTAAAAACTAAAAAAAATGTTATGAAGAAAAACTTGTTTAAAATTTTTTGGTTTTTATAAATTTCAGAGCGGGAAGTGTATAATCAAAAGATATATTCTTGGACATACCAAATTTGTTATAAATTCATACGAAATGTATGAAACGAGAGGATGAAAATATACTATTGCAACGCTTGAAATTGATTAAAACATTATTTATAACGTTTGATAAAAATACTATGTTATTATTCGGAGTAAAAATGTACTTTTTGTACCTCCATTTAACGTCGGACTAGCTTTACTTGTCCGTCAAACGTTTTACTCTTAATAAAACAATACACTATTGTTCAAAAAAAGTCTTAAGTTGAGAATGTGAAATTAGTATTATCATTATCTAATGTCAAAGTGTAAAGTACTTACTACAGATCGAAATGTTGGTAGACATTTGGAAGAACCAGAAGATAAATTGGAGAAGGCAGAAGTTATCTTTATCAACATGCCGCTGTTAAGATATAAAACAACACATTTTCTCTTCTGACAACGATTACATATTCTCGGGAATGAAGATCTAGTCTAACATCAGAAGAACCTAGTTCTGAACTAGAGTTTGCGAATGAAATATATTCAAACAGCGGATTTTTGTCACTTGTACAGGGTGTCCCACTAAGAATAGCTCTCGGCTGTATCTCGGAAAGTATTAGCCGTAGGGCCTATGGAAAAAAAATATTTATAACTAAGGGGCTATGAGAAATTGCTGGAAATTATTTTCAAATTTGTAAATCGGCCGCTAGAGGGCGCAACTGCTATGGAAAATAAGAAAATAGAATTTTTACAGAATTTTGCCTAGATAATGGGTACTATAAATAATATCTTCATAATCTTCAGTAAATTTTGGATTTTTTTTTGTTAGAACCATTTTCCCCTATCTGCTAAAATAAAGTGGAGGGGGAAGGTTAGATCTATCTTTATTTAAACGGATTTTACATTTTTGGGATTCTTTTTAATTACATAATAACTTAAAAAGAAGATAAAAATGCTCTTAAAAAAATTGTTATATTGTCGCCTTTTGTAAATTTTAAGTAAAAAATTGAAAAATAAAAAATCGATTAAAAAATCATTTAAAAAAAATCAGAAAATCCACAATTGAAAACGTTCAACTATAATATCTCTTAAACTATTAATTTTTGGAAACATAGTTTAAACAGTACAATTGTAAGACTCACTAGCTACATCCCAAGGCTCTATCGATAAAAGGGTAAACGATCTTTTAAAATATGCACATTTGTATAAAAATGCCCCTAAAAATCTTATATTGACGCCTTATATACAGGGTGGCACCTCATTCGCCTCGGCTGATCATACGAAAACGGAAAGATGTAGAAACAAAATTTTCTATGGATAAATGTAGAGAGGCAATGTGCATAATTTAAAATTATTTTCAAATGTACAGGGTGTGTCAGAACTAAGATCCATACCAAAGTTATATTTTTTCTTATGGAACACCCGGTATTTTATTTAATTTTTGAATTCTTGGGCATAAAATAAGGCATTTATTATAAGGGATTAATATGTTTAAATGCTTTGGTTTTTGAGATATTTAAAGATATTTAAATATGCATGCTATATAATAAAAAAGTTTTCAACACCTTGTACATTACTTTTCAGAATTAATTCTTGTGCTGACTTTCAAGCCAGAGAAATAAACTTTACTAAAAAATTTGATTGCTTCCTTAAATGTATACAGGAGTATCAAAAATTGCTGGTCTATTTTAAATATTTATTTTAAATACACCACTATGTATTTTTCATTGAATTAAAATAAAGTCTTTTTAGTTTTAAGTTAAATAAACCCATTTAAATCAAACATTTCCCCTATTATTTTAAATTAAGTTTTGAAAAACTGTTTAATTGATATCCAATTGATTTACTATATCTGTAATTGGCCAATATTATCTTCAACTAAATTAGAACTATACTGTTATGTTAATAAGCTAAGTAGCAGGAAACTAATGATATAGTAAATAGTCATTTATTAAATTCGTTTGGCCACTTATTGTTACTGTATATCAAACTAAAAACTGGAACAACTAACCGTTTCATTTCATTAATTAATATAATGTAAATTAGTATTTTTTTCGACAACCCAAATATTTTATGTCATTAATCCTAATAAGCCAAATGAAGAAAATATGGGGAATTGAGATTAGTCATGCTTTTGTAAAAAATAAAATTTTTTAGGGCAGAGGGAATGTTCATTAAACTATAAAGAATTATGTACCACTTTTTTCAATAGTTCTAGCTTTGTTATTATTTTATTATAAGCATAGGCTTGGTGAATTCTTCGCCGGTGCTGCCACCATCGGAGAATATCGTAAAAAACTAGTATATACAAATAAACGGGTTTAAGTAGGGAGTATACGAAAAATTTGTTATATTATTATTCTAAAAGTGTTAAGAAGTATAATTTGTGAAAATTCTAAAAATAAAAATTAAAAAGTAAACATTTTGATACCTTCAGAAGGTCTTACTTGTATTATTCCAGCTAAAAAAACTTTTTAAAAAAAAATTCTTCCTGGGAGAGGTAATTACTCCCATTCCCCTCCCGTATATGCGTCCCTGCCTTGTACAGGGTGGGTCAAATTTGACGCTTTTAAAGGGAAACACCCTTTTCGGTAGGAGATAGACGAAAACTAATATCGGTGTCTGGAGCTCAATTTTTATTAAAAACATGATGGTGAAAACCGCACATCGATATCTTTTACCGTTTCGGAGTTACGGAGTGTTTTTAAAAATTGTGTATTTTTAACAAATCGCTGTAACTTTTTTGCTATGTAAAATTTTCTGTTTTTATGAAGACATTTCCAATGTCCCTTTTTACGTAGAATTTAATGGTTTAAGTATAATTTTGTTTAAAATTAATAATTTAAGAGTTATCAACAGAAAAAATGATTTTTTATTTGGGACACCCTGTATATTTTTAAAATTAACTGAAAAGAACTTAAAATTACCTTTTCAAAAATATAGTACACTTGTTATTTTGTAACTAGTATTGCTTGTAACTCTCATTGCAAATATTATTTTAGTTTTAATTGCTGCTCACAGAGAATTTTTTGGCAAGTGGGCGAATTTTTAAAAACTTTATATCTTGAAGAGGAATCGAGCAAAATATCAAGTATGCTATATTTTTGGAAAGGCAATTTTAACTTCTTTTCAATGATTTAAAAATATACAAGGTGTCCCATATAAAAAATCAATTTTTCTATTAATAATTCTTAAATTATTAATTAAAAAAAAACTTAAACCATTAAATTTTACGTAAAAAGGTGCTTTGAAAATGTTTTCATAAAAATACAAAATTCTCTATAGCAAAAAAGTTACGTTAGCGATTTGTTAAAAATGCACATTTTTGAAAAACACCCCGTAACTTCGAAACGATAAGATATATCGATGTGCGGTTTTCACTATCATGTTTTTGATAAAAATTGAGCTCCAGACACCGATATTAGTTTTCGTCTAAAAAGCGTCCAATTGGGCCCACTCTGTACATTAAGATTTTTCAGCCTATTGTTTGTGGTAAAATTCCTCAAAAAAACAGTAATTAACTCACCATAAAAATATATAGACATTGCTTAATACAAATACAGTATTTATTATCTAATCTAGCAATACTATTAAAATTGATTTATTGAGCGCCTGCTGCATTATTTCTTAATAAGATTTATTCGAAGATAGCGTCACTAATTCGTTGGTTTTCTCTTTCAGTTGAGCCACAATGGAAGGGAAAATATCACATAGCGGCCTTCTGGCGCGAAGTCCCGAAGGGCATGCCGCACGCGGAATGCAGATCAAAGGCAACGAGGACGTATGGGTGGAGATACAGGCGAACACGTTCCGAAATTGGGTCAACGAGCATCTACCGAAGGAGTTGCGGATAGTCGATTTGTCGCAGGTAATTTGGTTAAGAGTCTATTACGCTGGGTCGGGTAAAACGGGTGTGTGGCCGAAGGAAATATACCGTGCTGGCAACTGTTACTTTTCGGTCGGCATTTACATGTGTGGAAGTAAATCGCATAGGGATCTTATTAAGTCGGAGTGAGAGAAATGCGACCGACCGACGCGCGACGGTGTGCTGTAGCGGCGTTGCCGATACGCCTTTCCCTATCAGGTAAAGTAAATTCACGATTGCAAACCGCTTATTTTTAAGACTTTTTTTTCAAGAGGTAACTAGATAAAATCATTAGACATGTTTCTGAGCATCTGCAATGGAATTATAAGGATATCGTTAGGGTGCCATTTTTTTATAACGAGAAAACGTCAGTAATCGTGATGATTTAAAAACTCAACTTTCTAACACATAACAGGCCATAACTCAAGAACCACTTTAGATATTGAAACTTTTTTTATTTTCAAGATCGGATATTTTACAATATGTTTACATAAGAAAAATTCGATAAGGGTGTTTTTTCCATTCAAAAAAATTGTAAACAATCCATCCATTCACTTTTAGAGCAAAGCAATTTTCAGCAATCGTGTATTTTTTTTATTGATAAAGATTTTCACATATTGTATACAAAGAAAATGCAGCAGAAATATTAACAAATTTCTTGAAAAAACTACATTCTATTATTTCTAATAGATTTCGAGATATCGATTTTTGAATTCAGAGTTCTAATAGCGCGGCCACTATCGAACACCCACTCAATTCCACTTATTTTTACCAAAAATGCAAGTGTTTCTAGCTTGCACTTAAAAAAAATTCAAACTATAGGGAAAATTACAACGACTCGTTAATAAATAAACAAATTAAGTATCACGAGACGTAATTAAATCGTGAAGCTGAACGCATGATATACACCTTTCCCTACAACTTTAAGTACTGATAGAGGTATTGATTGGGTCGACTGGTCAACTGCGACAAATCTGCTATATCCCCTTCCACGTCTCTTAGCGATATGCACAGTTTCTCGGTTTATTTCATACGTTTGGCAACGTGTTTACTGTCCTCTCTTCTCCCTCCAAACCAAATCACCGCGACCTTACAGATACTTGTGTCTAGCCCTAGCAGGAAACTATTAGGCCCGACCAATCACGTTAGAGTTTTTGACAAACACAAATGAATTAACACACTTCAAATAACCACGCTAACCAACCTGATTGGTTAAGCTTAAAAGTTGACTGCTAGGGCTAGACACTTCTTTACAGATCTATTGCGTTCCCCTTTCTTGAGATATAACGAGCTATAACTCATCATACAGTCTCAGGGCTTTAACAAAAACCAGTATCTGAGACGGCTCTACAGAGGCGAGCTGTTCATCCTCGACATTAGTCGTACGAAAGTTCATGGCACAACCGGTCGTCGTCTCGGCGTTAATCAGTGATAAAATGTTCCGGTGTTTTCCCCATTTTCCTCAAAGAATCTACATTCGCCGTTGTTTCTCAGCGTCAGCCTACTGAGATATCCGTTGAGGAGACAGTGTTCAGAAACCCCGTGACAATCCCAAGATGTTTTTTTACTTAAATCAAGGAAAATCTTTGATTATTCTCGGTCGTAAGTTCTGAGGAACTTTTTCGAGTGTCTTAGTTCCGCTTTTAGGTGGTTCCCGCTTGGAAAATAGAAGGGTTCTGGTCCAGTTAGTGGAGTGTTCGCTTGGTGAGCAGGCACCCAGAGACGGAGGACTTTTTTTTTGCCTAATTTGTTGAGCTTCTCTAGCCATTCTTTAACCAACTTCGAATTGATGGTTACTCAGTTGATCGTTTTAGTGCTGCTTGACTATTTGTGGATTTCATTCCATTTTTTTATATAACATGGGGACAATGGTAACGCACATTCAGAAAACACATATTTCTCATTAAATATTGATTTTAGATATAGGAAGTGCTTATAGCTTTAAAACAAAGAGATTAAACAAATCCTTGTTCGATTATGATACAAAACACAGGGTGTTCCGTTTAAAATTGCAGAAATACACAACATTTAGTTTTGACTCGCCCTGTATATATCAAACAAGATTGCAAATTTTGGGCGACCGAATTTTGAAGAAGATACTATTACACAGTACTTCCTGCATTTTTAAAATTCTTCGAAATTAGAGGGCTTTAAATATGCGGTAAAGAGGGATTTAAATATGCAGTAAATTTAGTTTAAAAATGGTTATATTAGAGCTAAATAAACATATAATATTCCATTTAAAAATAAACCACTTTGGTTTGAAAATATGTTTGAATTACTCTGTAGATAAAAATATTTTGAAAATGTGCGTTGGGATTGCCAACACACAACACACAAACATTGACCACACAACCAAAGACCTAGTATAGAGCTTTTTCGGAAGCCTGAATCACCCTGTATATAAATTTCTCGTCGAAATTGTACAGTTCTTATTTTTTGGTTTAAAACCTGATATTTGTATGGTATTTTTGAAATATGCCATTTTTAACCGTGCGTTGGTTTAACTGAAATGTAAAGAATGCAGCTATTTATGTAAACATATAAAGATTACCATTATACATATTTATGTACATATATGTATATTTTTAAACATAAATTCTTTGAATATTTTTGGTGAATAATATCGTAGACACTACACAAAGCAAATAACTCGTTATAACTCATATACATTATAAAGCGGTAATCTATAATAATAATAATATGTGATAATAATATTTATTGTTCCAAAAAAAACATCATTCACATATCTAACATATATACACAAGTCTACATCATTCACATATGTTTCAACAATTCTAAATATTAAAGTAATTTCTATAATAATCATATTCAAATATCCTAATCACTAAATCATTTACACTATAGAAAATAAAACAGCCTATTAAAATACTCAAACCATAATAATAATTTTATATAAAAAAAAACTATAATATAGACTTTACAAAATATTTCTATAATTTTTTTTTAAAAATCAACACAATAAACAATGAACCAGACCAAACATTTAGTTATGAACATTCACAAGTCTATCAATTGTTTCTCTATTGGATTCTAGCAGAAACAATTTTAAATGCTTTTTGAATAGAGCTCTGGAATTCGAAGTTATTAGAATATTTTTTAAATCTTTGGGTAAAAAATTATATTTTATGCTCTCGACAGAAGATAGCAAGAGCTCCTTTGATCAATCGTCTTATTTGATCTATTTGTTTTTATTGAAAAATTTGCTTTAAATCGCGTATTATAATTATGTTCTAAATTATTGATGATTATGATTATTGAGATCTTTATTAAGTATCTTTATGTAAGGTCGCGGTGATTAACTCTCCTCCCAAACATTCTACATTCTACATGTGTTAATTTTGGAATATTGTTTTAGATAATGTGGATAATGCTAATCGAAAAGGACGCAAGCGCCAAACTGTGATTTTGAGATATTGCCTTCTAACGTATGAGCGAGCTCTATCTCTCTTTGTTGAGCTATCAAGAAAAATGTATCTACAATTTATGACAAAATTGATTTAAGATGAGTACAAGAACAAATTGACAAAACATAGCTTCAAACTTTACACATTTTAATAAACATTTAGCGGATAATTCTTTTCTAAGAAATACCGGAGTACTGTTATCAATTTTAAAAAAGAACCTTCTTGAAAAATTCTTGGTTACTTGTAACCAAAAAGAAAATCTACAACATGGTTTACGGTGTTTTCTATTGCAGATTTGTTTCTCTGTTTGTTCTGTAGAATAGAAGTCTCCTTCCATCGTTTCGAAAATTATATGTTCCCAAGCAGTCAACACAATACTTTTATATCTTTCACTAATTGCTATTTTACCCTTGTTTTAGGCTAATACCTTTCTTTTTTATAATAGTTTTGTAGTTTTAATATGAGAAGCACGCGGCTAAGCAAACATTTAAAGAGAATCAACAGAAAACGGACATACATATAAAAGGAATTGTCACTTGGATCCTTTTAGACAAATTCAAAAGATTCCTACACAGTGGTGGTGCTTAGGACCCTGTTCAATAGATGTCACCTAATTGTAGCGTGGATCTTTTTCTACATATACATTGAACACTGCTCTGTCGGATGATGTCTTTTACTCAGTTTTCGTAATTTGGCGCTTGGTTCCTTTTCGTTTAACATCATCCATGTATTAATTAAATTAAAACATAAAGGGAAATTAAAACAACTTTGGTTGCACGTCATTAATGACACCATGTGTCGTCGTATGGAGTTTGCTGGTGGTCGTATTGTCAAGGTGTATGTGGCGCTAAACTGTATTGCTGGTTGCCTACACAACCGCAATGTGTCAAGAAAAATGGCGCATTCGCCAGAAAGTAAAAGAATTTTACAGAATTCTTTAGAACGTTCCAGAAACACTCGTCAGAGAGTATATAAAGTCTGCGCTTGGCAGTTGGACCAGTTTTAAAGTTTGATAATACCGCGTTTTAAATTGTGAATTAATTGGTGAAGGTGCCAGAACCGTTAGAGTAATAGTAGTTGCATCAATTGTGTTGTAAATAGTATAAGTTGTGTGTACAGAGTGAGAAAAATAAAATCATTAAGTATTATTATCGTGAGTTTAAATTAGTAGACCCACGGAATCCGTAACAGTATTATGATGTGCAACCAAAGTTATTGTAATTTCTCAAACAAAATATTAACAAATATCTACTTATTAAAAATTAGGAAAATTTTTTTTTAGTTTAAAGGCAGGTTAAAAATACCCACAATATTGATTACAACCATACTTATCATTTTTAGTCAAAACGAAGAAAATTATTACGTAAGTCGTTATAAAATTCCTTCTGGTCACGATTTTCAACTCACGAGTTACAGAGAATTTGCATAAAGGAATATGTTGCAATGGCTGAATAATTTGTATATTGTTATACGATTAAAGATAAAACCATTCTGGTAATATTAGACCGATTTATTGAAGTACTTAGTATAAAATAATAATATAATTTATTACAAATATGAACAATACGTATACCTATCTAGTGTAAAATAGGTATTTCTTTGCACTTTAACATCGGCAGCATATTCTGCAGATAAAAATAAATAAAAAAGTTCGTATAAATGTATGTCCTAAAATGCTTAGTTTCGGAGATACAGGGTGTAGAAGTTTCATTCACACTAAAAATACTATTAAAAATATCACTAAAAAATATTATTGCTTCCTTAAATGCATACAGGGGTATAAAAAATTGCTAGGCTATTTTAAATATTGATTTTACATAAAAACTTCGTTATTTCAAATACAACACTATGTATGTTTTAAAATAAGTCGAAGCAGATTTAAATGCTCTTTCAAACTATATTAGGGTTTCCTATACATATCTGGCTCAGATTTTGAATAAAAATCGATTTTTTCAATAAAATGGCAATCAAGATGGCTGTTGTCGCCATGGCAATTTGCTAGTGACAGTTAGTATCTATTTTCAAAATCGATATTACTTGATGGAATTTATTTAAATTTATTACAGTTAACTTTTATTTAATTTACCTACAATAGTTTAAGAAGTAAGTATTATTTATTATTTTATCAAGAAAAATAAAGAAGTAGTTCTTTGATTTATATTATGATGATTTGTAGATATATTGGATTTTCTATAAAAGAACCAGTTAAGACCAATTCATTTTCTTCATTCCCAACTACATGTTTCTGCCTAATAGGTTTTTCACACACCAGCACTATCAGCTCTGCGAAATAGGAAAAATAGTATTTCAAATAAACTCTTGTCAAGAAAATTTCTATTTCGATATCTTTGAACATAAACCCTTCAGGCCAACAAGCAATTGTCCTCACAAAATAAAATCACTAGTAACATATCCATTCCTTCCGTCAGCAGATACTGCTTCATTTTTCTTGATAAAATAATAAATACTTACTTATTAACCTTATTGTAGGTAAATTAATTTGAAATAACCTGTTATAAATTTAAATAATATCCATAAACTAATGTCGATTTTGAAAATAACTTGAGTGTCATTAGAAAATTGCCATGGCGACATCAGCCATCTTGATTACAATTTTATTGAAAAATCGCTTTTTATTCAAAACCTGAGCCAGATCGGTATAGGAAACCCTAATATAGTTTGAAAGAGCATTTAAATCTGCTTCGACTTATTTAAAAAAAAACATAGTGTTGCATTTGAAATAACGAAGTTTTTATGTAAAATAAATATTTAAAATAGAGCAATTTTTGACACCCCTGTATATATTTAAGGAAGCAATTAAATTTTTTCGCAAAAAAGAAACTATAAATAAATTTATAGTTTCTTTTTTGCGACGTCCGGATTTTGTCCGGAATTTCCAAAAGCCTTTATGGAAACCCTACTTTTACGTAATATTATAATGTAACTTTGGTAATAAATCTATTGAAAATAAACACTTATGGTAAAAAGCACCAGAGGTCAAATATGACCCTGTCATGGTACTAACGTTACAATTCCGACCCATATGGTTGGTTTAGGGCTAATATTATGCGTTCTAATGTCAGTTCATACAAAGAAAAAATCTAACTACTCACTATTTAGAATTCCTTTTAAAGAATACACATTACCTGTTTGTTACTATAATTGTTTATAAAAGGTGTCCTTGACAAGACTAGTCATTAAAGCGTCCTTTAGTGTGGGAAATCATTTGTTATAAAGAATGTCTTTTTTATAAAGTAGAAAAGGCTTATTAAAAATAGAGTTTTTAAGAATAAGATGTATTTTCTATATAAAATTTTTCGATTTGGTGATGTCGAAAAATAGATTTGATCGTCTAAAATTTTTAGTGCCTTGTCCTGGCCGGTTAAAAGATGCCCAAATCGTATTTTTAATTATATCTCAATTTTTTCAAATTGAACGAGGGTGACTAATTAACATATTTAGAAAAAGCATTTTTTACAAATAATTTGGTGTCACACACTAGGTGTTTCGAGTCAAATTGTCCTTATATGAACCGCATGATACAATTTTAAATAAACCATAAGCGAAAATGTCAAAAGTTGACATATTATATGCCATTCTATTCAGAGTGTCATTTTCTACCGAATAAAGTAAAAAAATACCGAGGGTGCAATTTAAAAATCAAAAATTGTAGTTATTTCCGGTAAAACAGGAAGTGACCGAAACAATTGAATACGTCAATCAATCCCGATTTGTCATATACTTAACGTACCAAATCTTGTTTATTTATCTGAAAAAATAAAAAAGTTATAGCGGTGAACCACTTTTGAGAAACACCCGGTATATTGTGTGGTAAATAATGTGTTTGGCAAATAACTTTTACCGTTCAAAATCAATTTTTGTCGAAAATTTATAGTCTGAACATCTAGAAGTAAAGATTTCAGTTAACGTCTCTTTTTTACTGCCAGGGCTAATCTGGACGGGGCCTACTTTGTTTACGCGGAATCCGAACTGCGGTCCTCGGCCATATCATGGTGAATGGCCTACCGGCTTGGCAAGTGTCTAAATCGACTCTTACTCACGAGATATCCGATCTCATCCGGCCTCGAACCGGCGTGAATGAGCAGTATCTGTCAATAGATTTTACACTTTTGCCCTTTTTTGGACAACAGCACGATACAGAGTTTCGAACCGGTCACCCGTCCATCCACTAGTCCATCCGTCCTTACGTCGCTTAACTTCGGTGTTCTAATGGGGACCGGTGTTTAGACGTAGCTGGGCCGTTGCCCTGAACATCTAGATGGAATTAATATTTTTGATGAATCTATGAAATGGAAATATCAAAATGATTTATTTTTTTGGAGACATCAACAGTCAATTAGACAAGAAAACGTGTAATGCCTTAGATACGGCATTGTTCTACAAAGTCCTATTCCATTTCGTTTTATAGAACAAATTTCATACTTCGGTTCAATGTATAAGATGTAGAAATTTATGTTCCAAAACAACTGATTCCGTTTTTTCTGGAAGTGAATTTAAACCCAGGCTTTGAATTACCTATACAGGGTGTCCCAAAAACATGTGCTATCTCTCGTGGGGAGATTCCTCATGTAAAAAATAAGATTTATTTTTCATATCCACATATTGTTTATTTTAAACAAGATAAGACTGACAATATTATTTGTATAATGTTTTGTATTATCTTTTGTTTGTTTGTTTGTGTACCTTGTTTTTTTACTTTGTTTGTTAGTTTACCTTTGTCTACAAATTGAAAAATTTTTTGATAATAAAGGCATTTATTTATTTATTTTTAATTTCCTTTCAAGTACTTTTAGCGTTTTGTGACAGAGTGCAGTTTAATGGTGATTAAAAGTTGTCTCTTGATGTTTTGTCGACTTCGGCCTCCTTGATAAGATAAACGCAATTTTATTGATTTGCCTTGATTCAAGTTTAATAGCAACTTGCGAAAGTTTTAGATAAGTACCTACTCATTGATTCCTCATCAAAAAATAAGAAAAAAAGCTTCTATAAACATTTTATTTGGACTAATAGTAATAAAAACTGATAATAAGATAAAACTGGTAATAATAATTAATAATAAATTAGGTAAAATATATAATTTATTAATTTTATTTTTATTTAAATTTTATTAATTGTGTTAAATAAAATTGCGTTTATCTCATCAAAGAGGCAGAATTCGACAACATATCAAGAGATAACTTTTAATTGGCATTAATCGGCCTACAGAATTTTGATATCATAAGAAAAAAGTCAGTGGCGCACATGTTTTTTTTGAAAAATATTCCAGTGATAACCCATATACTCGTACCTGATACATTTATCGACACTTTTTTGCATCGAAATATGTAGCACTCAAAGTAACTTTTACCCTCAAAATTTCATTCGAATGACTAAAAGTACTAGGAAGAACATTATAATAAATCGAAAGATTATTAAGACTTTAACACCCTGTAGCTACGAAACAAAGCAGAATCGGACCTATGTTGATATGAAAAATAAATCTTATTTTTACGTGAGGAATCTCCCCACGAGAAATGGCACATGTTTTTTGAAACACCCTGCATAAGTAATCTTTATTCTTGCTGTTAATAAATTTGCTTATTTTTTTCGTTATTTATTTACTGAATTGTTTTTTTTTAATTTAGGATTTATGTACGGGTGTCAGATTGTGTGCTCTAGTCGAAGCTTTACAAAAAAGGCCCATAAAACCGGCCTGGAACAAACGGCCAGCCAATCAGCATCATTACCTTGAAAATGTCACTGCTGCTCTAAATGCCATCGAGCAGGATGGGGTTAAACTTGTAAATATAGGTAAGTTCTAGGTATATAACAGTAAATAAGTAAACTATATACCGAAAATTTGATAATTACTTTAAACTATACACTATACGGTTGTCACTTAATATTATACACTCAGATGCAGAAAAAAAGAAATGGAGAAATTTTTGGTCAAATTTAATGTGTTATATTTTGTAATTTTTAGCCGTATTTTCATGATTTTTTTAGCAAACTGTATATAATTATATCAACTTAAATTTGTAAACTAAGTTCTTTATAAACTTTAGTATTTGGCATATTATACAGGGTTAATTAAAAAGTGGTTGTTTTTACCCTAACTTTAAAACACCCTGTGCAATGATTTCGTATGTAAATTTTCCTAAAATATAATTTTACGGTCAGAATCATGACTCATCTTAAACATTTTGTTTTTTAATTTATGTCAATACATGCTTTGGATAATTTTTAAGAGCGAAATGAACAGATCGCGATCAATTTGCAATTTTTTCAGTTATCATTATTCTTTGATGTAATTTTTTAATATGAAGAGATGGTTTTGGTATTGTCGTAACGTCATATTACGCTGCATTGGATACTACTAACGATACAGTCCTGGTTTTAATAAACATTAATAACGATAACAGAACTAACGATATTACAGAAAACATCTGCAATATTCAAGTATACAACAGAAAAAAAAATTGTAAAATATACCCTAATACTTTGTGATGCCTCCCTTGGCTGCTATAACCACCCTATAACTGCCTGTATACCTCTGCTCATACTGTCATTGAGGCTGCATAGATCATATTGTGTTTTGCTTTCCCATTTTTCTTTAAGAACCAAACAAAGTTCATTTAATGAAGCTGGTACCGCTTCGCGACCTCTAACCCTCCTGCCAAGCATCAACCAAGCCAAACGTCGAACATGATGGGCAGTTCATAGTAGTATATAGTTCACAATAATCACCGAAGTCGGCTTGTCATACTGAAAAATAACTTTAAAAAGAAGTGACAATTGAAAAAATTGCAAATTGTTGGTTGCAAGTTTATTTCGCTCTTAAAAATTAACCAAAGCATGTATTGACATAATCCAAAAAAAATGCTCAGTAGACATGGTTCTGACCGTAAAATTATATTTTAGGAAAATTTACACACGAAATTATTGCACAGGGTGTTTTAAAGTTAGGGTAAAAAAGCAACCCCTCAATTAACCCTGTATAATAGGCCAAATACTAAAGTTAATAAAAAACTAAAGTTAAAAAAAATATAAGCTTGCTAAAAAATTCATAAAAATAGGGCTAAAAATAAGAAAAATATAATACTTTAAATTTTACCAAAAATTTCTCCGTTAAGTTTTTTTGCATCTGAGTGTACAATATCAAAACATGTATGTAATATATTTTAGTACGAATATTCTTGGAGGGAAAATATGCTATAGAATACTTCCAGGTTAAAAAAGCATCAATAATTTAGTGATTTTACAAGTTTGAAAAATCTTGAAATACACAAATGATACACCAGATGCTTTTTACGCAAATATATTACTACTGAGGTCTTATTCTTACCCAATTTTAATAAAATAGCATATCTAATAAACCAAATTATCAATATCTTGCTGTAGCAAACCCCGCAATATGCATCATACTGCAAACAAAACCCGCCTTATCCAAATCATTTTTGTGTTTTTCTCTTTAAATTTTTAAAGAGAAATTATTAATTAATTAATTAAATTTAAAAATTATTGATTAATTTTTATTTCTAAGAAAACAAGATACAAAACAATGATTCCACTCAATGGACACGTTTTTTGTGAAATAACGCTTCAAAAATTAGCTGCAACAGTTTCTGCATATTATCTCGAAACAACGTTTTTGGGAGGTGTCAGCCAGACTTTAGCATCTTGGGCTGTCCTACTATTATAAACCCATCTTATCCATGAATCTAAATCATTACGCAATAGAGATATTAATAAACGAATTTTAGGAATAAATTACTGATAATATAACACACGACATTAGAATAATCCAGATAAATTGAGGTCTTCCGGCTACGAATATGGTAATTCTGAATTTTAATTAGCATGTAGGCACAGTGAAATATATAACGAATATATCGATTGGTCTATTATTAATAGACTTAACAATAGCTACTACTTCATTAATAAATTAAGGCTGCTAATTTTTGAAATAAATTACAAGAGATTAATTTGTAGAATCTAAATCTAAATAATAAAATTCTATCTTTTTTTCTTGTTTTAATCGGCAAGTGCTCAGGAAACCATCTTTGAAAGTGGCATCTGGCGATAATTTATTTCATGCTATTGTCAAATCTAAATTTGCATACATAAAATGTAAAATATTTTCAAGCCAGTGGCGGCTCGTGGTTTATCGAATATTGAACTAGGTAACCACACACGAAATTAAAAATTTAAATAATTTTTTCTCTCTCAAGAAGACGCATTAAATTTGAGAGTTTATAATAATAATAATATAAAAAATATACAGGGTGTTTCAAAAAACATGTGCCATCTCTCGTGGGAAGACTCCTCACGTAAAAATAAGATTTGCTTTTCATATCAACATAGGTCCGATTCTGCTTTGTTTCGTAGCTACAGGGTGTACAATTTTCGATTTATTATAATTTTCTTCTAAGCACTTTTAGCGTTTGAATGAAATTTTGAGGGTAAAAGTTACTAGAAACGCGACATATTTTAAAGCTAAAAAAGTGTCGATATATTCACCAGGGACGTGCATATGGGTTATCACTGGAATATTTTTTCTAAAAAAAGCATGTACGCCACTTTTTTTTCTTTCGTTAGCGAACTAGTGTAATGCCGATTAAAAGTTGTCTCTTGATATTTTGTCGATTTTGGCCTCCTTGATGAGATAAACGCAATTTTATTAATTTGCCTTGATCCAAATCTATTAGCAACCTTTAAACATTTTTATTATCATTAACTTGCGAATAGTTTAAATAAGTATTCATTGATTCCTCATCAAAAAATATGAAAAAAAGTTTCTAAAAACATAGGTATGGAAATGCATAGTTTTAGAGTTACAGGATGTTAAAACTTTTTAAAATTAGGTTTTTTCTAATTATCTTAAATATCATTATTTTTTTATTTGAAATTCTTGTAGGTTGGACTAATAGTAATAATAACTAACAGTAATAATATTTAATAATAAATTAGGTAAAATGCTTATAATTTATTAATTTAATTTTATTAATTGTGATTCATAAAATTGCGTTTATCTTATCAAGGAGGCCGGATTCGACAAAATATTAAGAGATAACTTTTAATTGGCATTAAACGGCTTACACAATTTTGATATCAAAAGAAAAAATGTCAGTGGTGCACATGTTTTTTTTTGAGAAATATTCTATTGATAACGTGATAACCCATATGCACGTCCCTAGTGAATATGTCGACACTTTTATAGGTATTATAGGTACACTTTTATAGGTATAAAATATGTCGCATTTATAATAACTTTTACCCTCAAAGTTCCATTCGAATCACTAAAAGTACTTGTAAGAAAATTATAATAAATCGAAAAATTACTAATACTTAACAACTGGTAGCTACGAAACAAAGCAGAATCGGACCTATGTTGATATGAAAAATAAACCTTATTTTTACGTGAGGAATCTCCCAACGAGAGATGGCACATGTTTTTTGAAACACCCTGTATAATATGTCTTTCTATAGCAAAAATCTTTGAATAAGAAGACTAAGGAAGGAACATAATGATATCCATGTATTCATGCATGGTGGGCGAAAAAAGGACTCTAGGGTGGGGATCCTTGACAGTTCTGTTTGACGATTCATTTGACACATTTGAATTTGATTTGAAATTTTGTGGATTTCTCAGTCTTTACGGAGCTTATTTTATGTTATTTATTATTTATTCTACTACTTATAGTTGTATAAAGGTAGTAAATCTAGATGGAAATTGTGGCAGAACTTAAATTAACAGTGACACTACCGTGATTTATCGAAAAAGACTCTAAAATAGTTGGTTGTGTAGCGTGCGGTAGATCTCGGCAAAAATCGAGTGAAATAATGGAACAACTTTTCGCTAGTAAGTGACTGTATAAGATACATACGTGTAGTAAACCGATCATTTATGAAATTCACTTAAATTCACTTAAATTCACTTAAATTAACTAATTATATATTTTTTCTTGCATTTTTGCTTTTATTTATTACTTGTCAAAGATTAGATGTCAAAGAATTTAGATACGTTTGAACAATTTGACTTACCTGCTTCAGTAGCGTATCGGATGTTTGTGTTAATGAATAATTATTAAAACTTATCTATTTTTATTATAATAATATGTTTTTATAACAATTTTAATAACTACCAACATAACAAACGTAAAATAAAAAAAAATTATTGAGTCTACCCTACATCATAGTTTTACATTTTTTAAATAAAATTAGAACGGCACTGATAAACCGGAAGTCGGCCATATTTGAGTCCCATCGCGGTGGACCTAAGATTTTTGATATACTCTTTCCTTAGTCTTCATAAGATTGATAAGATGAATAATCAAAGGCAAAAATAAATAATTATAAAGTTGACAAAATCAAAAATAGTGGCGAGAACTAATAGCTACTCATCTAACCACTGTAGACTATGAATAGAAAATAATATGTAATATTATAAAATATCAGTAATCAATAAAAATATATATATAGGGTGATTCACGGCGATGATGGCACGTTAGACGTTTATGGAGAACCGATGATAGAATTTTTTTGAAAATTTGAATTTTTACATAAAGGCAGCTTTTCTATTTTTCTAAAATATTTTCAGCATTACACTGTTGTCCGTTATTTGAAAAGTGGTAACATCTTTCTTATTTTAAAAGAAATACCCAGTATATTATTACATTTTTGGAAACTACTAAAAAAAAATTTGGAGTCGATTTGCTGGTTGAACCGTAGGTCCCACAGAAAATGGTACAATTTTATGGTACAAATGGGTATCATTTTATGGTACAAAAAATGAAGAGAATTAAATTCTC